TTAATGTGGATAAAAACTTCTCACACAATCAAACATTCACTATATTTTTGTAGCATAAATCACAAACTTATAGCACATGAAGTTAATTCGGATCCAAGGCAGATTGCAATATATTTCACAAAGGCTCCAAATCAAGAATTTGACGCCACTCAAAAGAGTAGAACAGAAATATCTCCAAATTCAAGTCAACCATAGTGTGAGCATCATCATATTAGTATCTGCATGCATAAATAAATGTGATAATGTGGTATGAAGTTCCTGCTAGCTTTGTTATTTGTACTATGTATAAGGAAAAGAAAAGTAAAAAAATCAAGATTGTTTCATTTTCACTCGTACAATAAGGATTTGGTGTCCCTTGGATTTGAATTCAATGGTAATTGGATTTCCCATACTTGATAATTGGATTTCCCTCTATCCCTATTTTAGACCACAGTGCAAATTGCAAAAACATTAAAAAAAAAAAAGAATTTTTCTAACGGATATTCTTAGAGCCCTCGGCAACATATTTAATATTTACCTAACTTATCATATATATATATATATATATATTAACAATCATTATCATCTCTTGCATTTATATTTAATTTTGCCTACTTCTTTTTATATTTATTTTTTAATTAATTTTATATTTTTAAAAAATAATACCTGAAATATATGTTAATAGAGCACCTGTTAGACAAATCAATTAAAAGAAGTGTTTTGCTTTCTCCTTTGTTTTTTGTTTTTAAAGAAATCCTACTTTTCACTCCCAACATGACATGACACCTGTAAAATCACACACAAACAGTTGCTCAGTCACAACAAAACACAAACAGCACCCCCTAAGCATGGCACCATCACATTGATACTGTGAGGACACACCCCTTAATGGCTGCATCCCAAACCAAGGCCAAAAATAACAGGGTGATCGCAGCTTAGATGACATCTATGACACACATATAATGGAAAAGAGGGGACCTTAAGTCAGTCTAAAAAAAGTCCCTAAAGAAACTGATTAGCAAACATTGTAAAGGGGATAAACTTACCGCACCCCACACCAGAGGAGAAATCAGACTGCCAATTTCCTTTAAAATCGCACTGTCATCTGTAACCAAAAATTACACAAACAAAAATAAGAAGTCAGCTTTAGTGAAATAGAAAATTTCCATCTTGCAAAATTCGAATCTATACAGAGTTCCAGTAATTTTTTCAGTCTAAACAACCACCAGTAGTAACTTGAATCATTTAGCTAAAAAAATAACAAGGCAGAGCAACCTTCACAAATTGGTGGATCCCAGAGAGAAGAATCCATAGTCTTAGTCAATTTCGACCTGCAATATGAGTACGAAAATATGATGATAAAATATTTTGGTGATACAGAGAAAATGTTTCCAACAGATATCTGTTGTTGAATCTGTAAATAAAGAAATATCAGTAGTATACACATCCAGATTTTTCAAAGAAGAAAGATGATTAAAAAGCCATCTCAGCATTAACTTAGGACAAGATAGTTCATCCCACGCAACAGTGATCCTGCTAGCATGCAGATTATATAATACCTTGATAGCATGAAGATTATACATCCAAGTCATTGGCCGGCATCATGGATTCTCTCTACTTTATCTTCTTGGTTATAAAATCTTTGAACTAATTGATGCCTCTTGCTTGTATCTTTGATTTACAATTTGGAAATTTACTTTCTCAAAAAGTAGTTTAGCTGTCCTTTGTTGAGATGCACTTGGTGGATCCCATCTTGTATGCAGGAAGGCTAATGTTCTTGTATGGTCTTTTTGAGTATTTGGGCCAATTTAGCTGAATCATAGATTACAAGGTGTCACATAGCCTTAATGTGTATGAATGCTAATTCTCCTTGTCTTTCCTGTCTTGTGATCTTAATTCAACTGAAAGGAGAAACTGAGTACATTGCATGATACCCCTGCTGCTTGGGTTTAGCAAGGGGGAAGTAAAATCATATTAAAGCATTGATTTTGCATAAAGAAATGGACTATCCTTACCAATACCAATTTTTAATGGGGCATACTTTTTGACTGAGACTCATCTTTACTCTTGATGCTTTTAGAGAGGAATACTTACCAGGATAAAGAGGTTAGAGAATCATATTAAGGTGGTGGTGGATCAGAAGATAATTAGTGATAGAATGTGGTTGGTATTTAAAATTATTTTGTCTTGGACATTCCAATGTAATGTGGATGAACTTCCCAGATATCATATTTTTGAGCATATGCAGTGTACGCCTCTATGGATAATATGGCCAGTCTTGATACAAAGTCTTCTTGACTATCTTAACGTCTGTATGTTTTACTTCACATAAACATGGGAAGATAGTCTTATAAGTTCTTAGTCTTCTAATAATCTAAAGGCTTTTGCTCCTTGGATAATGCTTTCACAAGAGAAGTTGGACTGGTCAAGCAATTTTCAGTTAATTTCCTGCATGGGTACTTATCCTTGTTGACACATCCTGGTCTGATATGGTCATTGTTCTTTCTGCCCTGATCCCTTCTCCCTGAGTGGTGCTGTACTGGCTAAGGCAATTTTAAGTTTAGGCTACCATGTTGTCCCTGATACTGTGTTTGCACCAACTAATGTGGTAGAGCTATTGAAGTTTATGCTTTCAATTCGCACGGGAGAAATACATAATGGGATGGGAGCCAAAAGTGCCAAGTCTTGGACTGGTATAAGGGAGGAAAGAGAATAGTAAGTGAAATTTTATTTCTTTTTAGTCTCGCAACTGATTTAAGGACTGCTTCATTGTTTTCAACATGGAGTTGGAAGTTAAGTGGTTGTGATGCTTCTTGTTTACCATACTGAAAATGGGACGCTTCCAAACACGGTAGTATTGATTGTTATACCATGCTATTATTTAGTCCTGTTGATATATATTGCATTTATTGCAAATTTTGGTAGTAGTTGTTTAATTGTAGTTTTGAATGGTTACAATACCCTTTTATTCTTTTCTTGTAATATCTGATAATGTACACATTAAAGCTATCCTAAAAATATTTACTTATGTATACTCATTCAGTTGTCATTTGTATTGTTTAGGATGTGATTAGCTATGTGGAGAAAGTATTTTGTGCTAATAGCATGACCAACCAAGTAGATAATGGAAGCTCATTGCATCAACCTACTATGGTGTCAAAATCTGCTTCATTTTCTGCTACAATTCCTGGTGCCTCAAATTCTGATTCAGCTTCTTCTGCAAATGTTTTGGAAAGTTCGTTATCTAGAACTTTATCAGAAGAGGCACTTGAGGATGAATCATTGCAGTTACTATCATCCCTGGATATTGGTGGAGAGAATCTGCCAAGACCATCTAGTCTCCAATCTTCAAATGATGTTTCAAGGACTCAAACTGACGATTCTATCTCAACGGTTGATCTCAGGCTTAAGTTGCATCTTTACAAAGTCAGTTTTCTGCTCCTTACCAGAAATATCAAGGCAGCTAAGCGTGAAGTTAAGATGGCTATGAATATAGCGCGCGGCAAAGATTATACATGGGCACTTTATCTGAAGTCGCAGCTTGAGTATGCTCGGGGAAATCACCGTAAAGCGTGCAAGCTTTTGATGGCATCAAGTAATCTAACAGAAATCGGAATTTCTAGCATGTATTACAACAACTTTGGCTGCATCTTTTATCGTCTTGGGAAATATCACGCATCAAGTGTATTCTTTTCCAAAGCATTGCGTTACAGGTCAACTTTGTTGAAGGAGAAACCTGTAAAGCTAGCAACTTTCTCACAGGTTAAGTCTTGGCAGATGGCATATAACTCTGGTCTGTCGCTCTTGTCTTGTGGGAAACCAATACATGCTGCTCAATGTTTTTACAAGGCTGGTCTAACTTACTACAACAGGCCTCTCCTGTGGCTGAGAATTGCGGAGTGCTGCCTTATGGCACTGGAGAAGGGGCTTTTGAAGTCCAATTACTCTAGTCCATCTGATGGCTCTGATGTTAAAGTTCATGTTGTTGGTAAGGGAAAATGGAGGCAACTTGCACTGGAAGATGGGGTTTCAAGAACTGGGAAGTTTGATTCTGTTGGGAGAGATGATTTTTCTTTCGGCAACGGTAGACTGCCCGAGTTGTCAATGTCCCTTGCTCGGCAATGTCTTTTAAATGCATTGCACTTGCTTGAAAGCTCTGATTCAAAATATTTGAAGTCTGGTTTGCTTTCTGATTCTGCTGCTGAAGGAAGTGAATCAGGAGACTCGTCGTCTTCCAAGGCCACAAACTACAAGAATCTAGCAGGTGGTGATCCAAAATTATTGAATGCAGCAGTAGGCTCAGGGCAGGCCAACACAAATGGGGAGGTAAAAGAGCAAAAGGGTGGAAATGGTCAAAACACTTCTCTGCTAAACTCTGTGAGTGATTATGAAGATATTTGTAGGAAAGAGAACCAAATGATCGAACAAGCTCTTCTAGCTGATATGGCATACGTAGAGTTAGAACTAGAAAACCCACTAAAGGCTTCGTCAACAGCAAAGTCTCTTTTGAAACTTTTCGAGTGTTCCAAAATATACGTCTTTCTGGGTCACTTGTATGCAGCTGAAGCTCTATGCCTGCTGAACCGGCCAAAGGAAGCTGCTGAGCATTTGTCCGTCTATGTGACTGGTGGAAGCAATGTTCAACTGCCATACAGCCAAGATGATTTGGAAAAGTGGAGTGTGAAAAAGATAGTGGATTTTGAGGAACCGAATGGTGGGCCTTCATCTGTTAATGCATCGTCTTCTGATGAATTTCAAGGTTTTACGTTCCTCAAGCCTGAAGAAGCTCGTGGAACTATTTGTGCTAATTTAGCTCTCCTGGCCGCAGAACTGGGGGATCCTGGGCTGGTCCAAGATGTTATGCAAGCGACAGCTTCGGCACTAAACAGTCCCCACGTTATTCTTGCTACTGTTTACTTGGATCTTCTGCAGGGGAAGACACAAGATGCTCTTGCCAAGTTGAAACAGTGTAATCGTATTAGATTCCTTCCTGGTAGATCGACGCTGGATGGCTCTAGTTGATGGTCCGGGTTGTATTGATGGTTCTTGTCAGTTTTATTCAACCTATTTCTTAATTCGAATCAGCAGGTAGGTTAGCAATCCTTTGAAGGGAGGATTTGTAACATATATATAGTTCAAATCAGGAAATAAGTTTTTAACTTTCGATTTTTTTGTTTCTCAAAAATTTTCCTTGGTAGGCTGTAGTAATAGGTGGTGTAGCTGAGATTATTTGATTGTCTCAGATGCCCACCTAAAAGATTTGAGATGTAGTTTTGATTCAGGTGATTGTGTTTTAGAGCCTAACGTAGTTCAGCTTTGAATTTGTAGAGAATGTGTCATTGAGAGATGAATCAAAGAAATTTTCAGTTTAGTGTGGATGTTCTTGTTAGGTAGTGGTCTTCATATCAGCTGTAGTGAAGCAAATGTCTTTTAGCTTTCCTTTCTTTTCCTTTTTGATAGGCAAAGATTTTCACCTTTCATTTGGCAACTTAGGTCATTTGTTGTTCATTAGAAAAAGGTCAATAGATGATGATGGTCCTTCACATGTAACTTTATAGGGGAGGGTCCAAATTCTCATTTTTGTATACAACACGAAAATAGAAAAATTATTAGCTCTTCAATGGTAATTAGGCTAATTAGCTTACTATTAATCTAGAGTTACCACTTCGCAACAGCAATTGCTTGTGTCCGCCTACAGTAATTGCCACCTTAAACTAATTGATAATTGTTTTGAATTTTTCTAATAGACACTGCTTCTTCGTACACTTGAAATCACAACCAATCTAATATGTAAATAGACAAATCAGCCAAAAGGGGGCCTGGAAATGAACGGATGTGAACCATCGGGTCTCTAATCATATGTCGTTCTTTTGTAACAGATTAATGCGATTAGTCCTCAGTGTTCACTGTGGATAGTAGCGTGTTATTTCGGGATCTATAATTTTTAGCTGTCGAGTCAAAGCGAAAACGGAAAGGGAGCAACCACTACAATCTTGAGCCACCACCGAAGATTTGTTTATCGAGTTCTCAATGCAAGTGATGTTTTGGTTGGGGTCCACGGTGCTGCCTTGACTCATTATCTCTTTATGAAGCCTGGCTCAGTTTTTATCCAGATCATTCCTCTTGGTACAGACTGGGCATCAGACACCTATTTTGGCGAATCATCATTTAAATTTGGTTTAAAGTATGTTGCATACAAGATTCTTCCGAGCGAGAGTTCATTGTCTGATAGTTATGAAAAGAATGATCCAGTTTTGCTAGACCCTGATACTGTGAACCAGAGGGGTTGGGAAGTCACAAAAGAAGTATATCTTGATAATCAAAATGTAAGATTGAATCTGCGAAGATTTGAGAAACGACTACTTCGTGCATATTACTACACCATTGCTAAGAAGAAAGGGCATTTCCCTATTCAGTCTCAATAGCCTTTGTTTGGTCTTGTACCGTGAACTTGGTTTTCTGTTGAACATTGTAAATCAGGTAAGTGGCAAATAGTAACAATTGAAAAAAAAAAAAATGTTGTATGAGGTGGGTGACGATGCGATTTTGTATATTAAGTAGGAAATTGTTACCTTCTTTTTGGTATATAAGAGATATCTAAAAGCAGATTCTCTCATCTATTTCTTGTTAGCTCTTTGCATTGATGAAATGCTTAATTTCTGCACCAAACATGGAAGTTATCTTGAGGATAACTGTAGATCGGCAGTTACCAAAGGAGGCATCTATCTCCTCCTGATCACAAGGAGATGCTTGGTTCACATTCATTCTTGCCTCATTTGCATTCTCAGTTTCTTATTCTGACTTGCATCCAGATGTCTGTCCCTTTTTTTCTTCAAGATTTAGAAGTGAGTCATATTCTTTTGCAGTTCAGTTCGTGTAAAAGGCATTTTTTTTTTGAGCAGGCAGATTTGCATAAAACGTGGGTCTACTTTTCTTGTGGTTTGACAATTATATCTTGTTGCTTTTGATCTTGGACCTGTGCAGAAAGTAAAGAAAACTTTTTGTGCTGTGCAAATTCCATTTCTAAGGCTCAGCTTACTTTAATGACTCTAATTTGCAACCCACAAAGAGAAAAGGCTTTCCCTTTTCATCAGAAGAATGCTGTCTCCATCCCTTCCATTTGAGTCAGTTCATGATCAATTATGTCAAAGTCTTGATTTTTCTATATCTGCTTGTCCCATAATTTTTGCGGCCACATTTCATGCCAACTTGACTTTGAGGCCATTAAAGAAGTTAATAAAAAGGCGCATAAAGAAAATTTCATGTGACGACAATTTGTGGGCCGATTGTGCTTTGAGACTGAAAATGAAGTATGCTATGATACATGATAGTGATGTTAACTGATTTCAAACTTTAGAATTCCATCCGAATGGGAGATCACTACCAACATTAATTAATGTTACCTAAAAATAACTGAGTTTGACAAGGCACAAGCCTTCGGACGTTGGATTTTGAACCCTTTCTACTTTACAGGTTGATAAGATCGGACTTGGGGCACAAACGGCAGGCCAACCGTTTTCGTTGGTTTTGTACGGTTTTGTCCAATCCCACAAGACGTGCATTCATTTCTTTGGGGCGTAACTCATCTTAAACACAAAGTAAATAGAGAACAAAATTTTGTAGGTCTCATATATGACATTGAAAAATTATTTTTTATCGATTTTGTCCAATCTCATAATAAGATGTACATTCATTTCTTTGGAGCGTAACTCATTTTAAACACAAAGTAAATATAGAACATAATTTTGTAGGTCACATACGTGGCGTTAAAAATGATGGACGTGATCTGAATTTTTTCAGAGATTGTCGTTCCGGCGACCGTCCTTGCCCCAGTAAGATCTGCTTCTGTCCGGAGATAAATTAACCATAAACCTCTGGCATCAGTAAAATGTATATATTATTGCAAATAAGTTTCCATGTTAATAAAAATTTCAGTTTTCTTGGGTATTTTTTTGACGGTTACCTCGTCAGCCTTTATCTTTTTCCCATTTTTCTTCACATGCATTGTGTCTGTTATCTGAAGAGAATCTGTTCTCTCTAAAGAATAAGCCACATGCAATTTTGTAGCTTCATCATTTATTTATCTATATTCTCACAACATATGTCAAGTCCTTGTTTCTTTTGTCAAATAATGTTCATCCTAGATCACAAAATCATTAATTTAATTGCCCTGACACCTGTGATTTAGGTCAACATTCTTCTTTCCATTTAATAATCTTCTGCAATTGATGATTTATCACCAGCCACGTAGAAAATTAGACCTTCCAGCGGGTAGATCTCAAGGGATTTTACGTTCAAGAACTGGTCAAACACTAGACTGAAGTTTTCCTGCAAAGTCAACCAATCTTGTTACAAAACTCTTTAACAAATGATATACGGATTCGAGTCATCATTTTTTTCATCCAAATGGTCAAATCTGAGATCAAGATTGTGTAATGACAGAAAATATACAGCTGATGAGCTTTCTAGCAGTTTTCAGATGTTAATACTCGCAATCATCCTGAAGCTCCAACATGAAAGAAATCACTACTACTCAGCATTTAAACTAGCAGGTGGATTATGTTTCCCTGAAGCCAATTTGGCTTAAGAATTCATGATGAGCTCACAGTTGATCCATCATTGACGAAGAACGTCAAACTCAATTTAAATTTAGCCAAGATGGAATTATCTCCATCAACAGCAGCAGCTTCTCTGGAGATTTTGAAAGAAAAGCATGATTTGGAGAAGCCCGGACTTGTCATTCTATTTAGAAGTGGTTCAAGAGAACACTTAATCAAAGATTAATTGGTAAAATGCAGAAGTGATTGGGTTTTTAGTAGAAACTGTAAGGCCTGTATGAACATCAGAGCTTGCGAGGAAATATCAAGTTTATTAATCCAGCTGTGTTTAAGAGTTCACAGAAAAGAAGAGTTGGAAAGAACGAATGAACAGTTCATTGCTAAACCACCAGCGATTAGGCACTGCCAAATAGTATCACATCTTCCATTACCACTATTGCCAGGTCGGCTAATCTGTACAGTACTACAAAAATTGTCGTCAGTACATTTGCTAGTCTATGGCAGCAAGTATCGTCAGTGAAAATCTGGCGAAACATTTTCCCTACTCAAATGTTGCTTGTTAGTATGATGCTTCGAGCCAAAGCAATGCCTACCCTGAATGATCTTAAAGCCACCGCTTTGTCAATTTGGTTGAAGCACGGACAGGAGGCGGTGTTTTGGAGTTCCTTTTTTCATCTGCATCCACCAAAAAAAGGGACCTCTTATGTCAGTTCACTAAGACAAGTAGAAACCAGTTCTTTTGTTTCAAGTAAAATTGGTTTTTTTTTTTTTTTACATACAAGAGTCTGTAGAAGGATTTCCTCCAAGAGAAGATCTCCTTGATCTGTCTGGTGGTGGAATTCCTGTCAATGACTGTCTCCTTAGTGCTCTTGAGTTGGATGAAATTGGTGACTTTTCCTCAAAAGTGTTAGTAGAGCCATTGAAAGGTGAGACTGCAAGTGGTTCTATAGACTTCTGCTGATTCCTGCAATTGTGCACATGGAGTTGCGGGGAGGAATTAAGCAAGGTGCATATGCCAAAAGACAAGATAAGGGAAAAAAGAGAAAGGTTAAAGCTGTATATCAATGATGACAACTTTAATCATCTTATAACGTTCAGAATGAATAATTTGAAGAAAAAAAATTCGTCAGCTTACAGGAAAGTTGCAGTAAAATGAGATTAAAAATTAGGAAAGAGCTAGCTACCTTTTCTCAGATCCATTGATAAGTTTTCCAATAGACCGAAGAGATTTCCTTATTTGAGATCCCTTTCCATGTGCAGTGTTGGTCAAGCCAGGTGTAATGAGTTCTGAAGGAACACTATGCTCACTCTTTATTCCCTTCTGGCTTTCATTCCTGGATGTTACTGCTGCTGGCTGAGGTGTCTTTGGTTGTTGAAGTTGTGGAATCCTTGTTCTATTGCTAGTTTTCACCATTGGAGTTCTCAAACCGGACTTTGTTGGACTTTTTGGAATATTTAGGCTGTTGATGTCCGCCGCTGAAGAACAAATACCTGTATCTGTTCTCACCATTGGACTTCTCAAGCCGGACTTTGTTGGACTTTTCGGAATATTTAGGCTGCTGATGTCCGCCACTGAAGAACCAATACCTGTATCTGTTCTCACCATCGGACTTCTAAAAGCAGACTTTGTTGGAGTTTTTGGAACAATCGGGCGGTTAACGTCCATCACTGAACAGCCATTACCCGCATGTCCTTTAGGCTTTCTCAAAACTTCTGTATCTTGAAGCTGAGCAGGTTCCTGTAAATCTGTGCTTGTAACTGTTTTCACCAAACCACCAATTTGTAAATCCTTTTTCACCATTGAACTTCTAATAGGAGACTTTGTTGGACTTTTGTGAACGCTTGGGCGGTCAATATCCTGCACTGAACGACCAATACCTGTATTTCCTAGAGGCTTCTTCACGATGGCTCCATTTTGAAGCGGGGTAGGATTTTGAAAATCTGCGCCGTTGTGCTCTAATGGCGGCTTGCTTAATGGATCTATAAACGTAATCTGCTCAGGATCTTTTTTGGCGTATCGCTGCCCTTCCAAACTTAATCTTCGTGATCGTCCCTGCATAAAAGGGGTTTTGGTTCCCTTCCTATCATCCAAGTTTTCTTTCTCCAATTTTATGGAGCTGCAATTCTCAATGCTTAATCTTCGGGGGCGTGGAGGGGTTCTTTCGGCCAATGGTGTTTTCACTGCTTCCTTTGTTTTACTTCTTTGAGGTGTATATGTTTCCTTCTTGGCCAATGCCTTCTTTAGGCTCTCAATCTGCAGTTTTGAGCAAATATATATCATGATAATAAAGCAATTATTCATCAAGATAAAAGTAGAAAGGGTAAAATTATTATTAAGGAACTGATATTCCGAGTACCAATCTAGTCACACATTATATGAAGATTGTGTACCTGTGCTTTAAGCTCTAAAACCTCGCTGCTCTCCTTATTTGCACAAGCTGCGCCAAGCTCCACTGTTGAGACCCTCTGAGCAAACTTCAAGGTACTAATTGTTTCTCCAAAAGAATCTCCTTCTGGACTCACATGAGCAAACATCAACGTTTTTGCATGCCCTCCTGCACAATTCTAGAGTAATCAGCTTCTCTACGGTTCAGTTTCATGTCGTTAATCAATAACGTTTGCTTCAATCCCCAGATTTTTGTGTAAACTGAAATTTGACTGTGATAGTTCTGTACAATTGAGTGGTAAAAATGACAGAAAAGCACCAAAGTAAAAGATGAATTTACCCAAAGCATTCTGCAAGAGCAGTGTGAGTTTGCTGTTCCTATATGGGATATGAGAGTTCTTCTGTGCCAATGCCATGATAACATCCCCCAAACTTGAGAGAGATTTGTTAATATGTTGTGCCTCTTTGAGGCATTCTCCAGTTACTTCTGACTTATCAACCCGCTCACTACCTGCAAGGTCTACCAAATGTAGGCAACTGTAAAGTCTGCTTCCAGATACATCTTCTCCATTCACGTGAATCGTCAACACACTGCACCATAGAGTGACTCAATAAGCACAACAGAACTATTGGCATCTATCAACACTGCAATCAATAATGAGTTCAATAAAGTATTTCATGTTACCTGTGAGAACGACTACTTCGATTGTTGATGGCAGTGGAACCAACAGCCCGGTTTGTTTCGCCAAATTTCATCAAGGTAATTACATCTGCAGTGGACGTCACATGATGCTTAGATGCATCTGGAAGAGCCAAGTCATTGTCACCCAAACAACTTCGAATCTCTAATGTATTCATAGTTAAGTTTTCCAAAGTATGGACATGTAACAAATGAGAAGTTAAAAGATAACACAGATAGTCTCAAAAGACAGCAGGTCAGAAAAAGCAGGGAAGGATATTTTGTGACTGATGAATCTTCTGCAAGCAGGTCACGTACTTGTTCATTATATATCTCAACCATTTGGACATGCATATCATACTTCGTGATGTCTTTTCTTTTAGCCGATAACTGGAAGAGATCATTGAGAGCTAAATAATTAATTCCAAGTTCCTCTGTTGTTCCACCAGAAGGGCCACTCTGTCCACGGAGAAGCATTAGTTAGAAAGGCTTCCAGATTTCAAGAATCAAACTTGATGATTTCATGATGATCCTTCAGTAGATGAATGTCTTCACAAGACAAGTCATATGAATTCAGTAATTCTGAAGCAGAAAAATTGAAGATGGACCGTCTTTCAACCTAAAAGAAGCACAATTTTTAGAATCAATGCGAAGCCTTACCATAGTGTGTGTTTTTCCAGATCCAGTTTGACCATAGGCAAAAATGCAAACATTATAGCCATCCATCACAGATCTAATGAGTGGCCGAGTATCTGCAAATACCTCACCTGGAAATGAACAGTGCTGTATGGTTATTTCATAAAATCATCACAATAGACTACTACAACCATCAACAGAGGATAGTTCTAATTACCTTGAGTAGCAGCTGGACCAAAAACACGATTGAACTGAAAAATTTTTCTACCATCCTTTTGGGGTTTCAATGGATCTACAACTACTAAAGAACCATCTTCTCCAATGAAGTCTATGACGCTCTTTTTTTCAGCTCTAAAGAGGGGCCTGATTCTGCAATAAACTCGAATATTTCCTACAAAATATTTCAACCATAAGAACGAATAACCGTTGTTCTCCCATGTACAAAAAAAATTTAGTGAAAGAAAGTGCGATGTTTATAAGAAACTACCTCTTAGTTAATTGTCCTAGCTTGGCCATTTCTAATTAAAAAAAAAGAAAGAAAAAACACCTCTCTCTCTCTCTCTCTCTCCAGCTGCCTTACCAGACCACATTAATCTTTGTCAGCAAAAAGTTTTGAATATTTTGTCTTCTCATTTTATTTACGTGCCAAATATGAAAAGAAGACGAAGCATTAACCAATAAGAAAAATATTGAAGATGCAATTACTTGTTTACCTTTTAGATCTTCCACCATGTTATACAGGTTCCTATTCTCTTTCACAACCCTATGGTATTTTTGAGCAGCAACAGACATCTCCAGGAGCTGGCCTCCTGAAATCATGCAAATAGACACATTGTGGTTCAATGTAATGTATTTGAACTGGATATGAGAATAAAAAGTAATGTAAGATTGTTTAGCACAACATGCACAACATCCAATGTGGAACTAAATCTCAAATGAAAATGTATACAAAAAATAGCAGCTATTTTTCACTGGGAAGAAATATTATGAGAAAGTACTATGGCACATTCATTTCACAGCTATCCAGATTAATCATACATTTCATAATGATCTCCCTCCTTAAAGAACATGGCAAGACAAAATAACATCATACCAAGTTGTTTCAGATCGCTGTTTAACTGAGTTTGAAGGCCTTCAAACTCTTTCTTTGTAGTTGATAGCAATATCTTGAGATTCTGCAAGCAGAAAATTGATACCGTCAAGTTAATATATTCCATCCTATAGGGACATCAACAACAACATCTGCTTGCATGAGTTCAAATTTAACCTCAAAACACAATCAGATAACACATGGTAAGCAATATGTGTGCACTGAAAGCATACCATCAGTTCCTTTTCTTGCTTTTCAACCAGATTCCAGTGATTGCAGAAACCCTTTGTCAAACATGCTCTGCAGCACTGTATACCAGAATGTCACATGGAGTGAATAGAAACTCATCTGAAAAGATGAAGAACTTTAAAAAATTTCTTTTAGTCATGCAAATGACCAGAAGTACCATAATCTAGATATCAGTATGAGAAGCATAGAAGTAGGTAGTCGGTTTGCATTCCGCAATAAGATGATAAAAATGCAACAAACCATGTTGCACACCTGATAAGGGAGGACATATTTAAATCATGTACATTCCCCCTCTTCTCGGCATTAAGGAATTTGGAATACAAAACACAAGAAAACAAACCTCAATCTAATCAATATATGACTTATCCTGTGATCAATTATCAATTACAAAAGTTTTCATTGAAATGCACTAAGCTAGACACTAAACATATTTTATCAAATGCTACAGTAATGACCATAAGTGCAAATAACCTAGTGTGCCATCATGTACAACTTGCATACTGCTTTCTTTCTCTGGATATGATTTATATTTGCATCTTTGTCAATGTCCATACCAATATATATAGATGGTAACCAACTTAAAATTGTACCAGGATTCCAAAACTGTCTGAAAATTGCATACATGTAGTACAGCTACTGTACCTGCTGGTTTACAAGAGAGGACAAATCCCCAAGTGGTGTACATGTTCTACTTTTCTTTGAGCTGCTTCTTCCTTGATTATGAATGACTATCTCTGTTCTCAACTGGACATGATATACAGAAAGCGCTATTGTTAGTTTTATGACAACTATAACATGGTAATATGATAACAGTACCATCATCTTCAACAAGATAGTTTTAAAAAAAAAGACAGAAAGGTATGTTGAGTGAATATGTATGGACAAGAGAGAATTTATTGCGAGTCACAATCGCATCAATGCAATTTCATTGCTTGGCCTGCTTATGTAAATAACCAACTTATGTTTAACAATGCATTTACTATATTTGCTAGGGTGACTCTGAATATTATGAAATTTTAGGAGCCATAAGATTGACCTATGTACGTAAAACAATAATAAAGAAATATCCATTTCAGGAAAAATTCCTCAATAAGATTTACCTGCACAGGTCTCATATGTTGCACTATAAACCAGTTCAACAAGAATGGATGATGAATGTTTTATAATCCTCAGCCTGTGCAAGACATCATTCTCTATCATGTTTTTCCCCCTAAATCAGAACTGAACTTTTTCTTATAGGTGCAAATGTCTCAAAACTCATGCTCAATCAAACTACTTACAAGTTTATGTCGTTGTTCTACAAGCTATCATTTGCAGGGGCCAACATCTCGAAAAGATAGGAGTTATGTAATAGTCCTACCCCAGTGCACCCAAACCCTTATTGGCATGGCACATCCCAAAAATTAAACAAGATGCCTAAACTTGAAACTGCAGAAATGGAAAAAGCAAGACATAGTTTACATTTTTAACATAGGATAAACCAGAAAAATAAACTTCCTAAAAATTCCATTGTCTGTGGATATCATTATAACTGACACATGCTAAGGGAGTACAGGTTGATGAACTTGATTCTTTGCACAAGAAAATGTAGAGTTACAATAATATCAACTGACCTCAGGAAACCTTTTATGCAGTTGTTCCTCCAAGCAAGTAGACAAAATTTCTCCAAATTGCTTGACTGGATCCTATAATGGAAATAGATGACATTGAGATCTGCTTGAGAATTATTTAGAAGGTAAAATTGTTATGAATGCATGATACACTTTTTAGGACCAAAATTGCCATGTTTACCTTATGGAAAGAAGTAACAAGGTTACTATCCATGTTCTCCTTTGTGTCAACCATGTGATCAGCCAGAGCCTTGATGATTAAATCTAACATATTAAGGAGACGGCAACATGGATATCAGTAACAAGAAAATCAATGATACCAGAGAGGCAACATAGACATCAGTTGCAAGAAGAAATATGATACCAGAGAAGCAACTGGTGCTCCTCCTTTTTCTACTTAAAATGCAAACAATGTAAGTAGGCAAGGAAGCTGCTTAGGGAAGGCTATTTATGGAGAAAAAAAGTAGACCCCATGTAGGTTAAAAACATCAAGCTAGGTGCAAAACTGATCGTTCAAAGGCTTTAGTACAAGAACATAACATAATTATAATTTTCCATCTCAAGTTAAAAAACTCTACCTTACCATTACAACAAACATCTGAATGCTCCATTTCTACACAGTGTTCCCCTTTATGGAAACCATCAATATTAAATCGATCACATTCAGGTAATTACTAATCTATCAAATAGTGAGAAACTTAATGTGAACTTGTAAGCACCATCTATGGCCTATAATGAAAATCAGCACTCTTTATCATCATAAATTCCACGTACAGGCACATATGATGAAAAAAGGAATAAGAACTAAATGAACCTTGAACTTTCTGGTTTTCACTTGCTGCTGGTGGCTTTTTATCATGGCTTGTGGACATGTCCAATTGCCTGCAACTATTAGAATTTGATGATCCTTGAGGTCGAGTGTTAGGCCTACATGATGAATGGATCATAAAAGGCGATCGAGGAGGCTTATTAAACCCATCACTTCCATTCATTTGCTTCCACTCCTGGTACGCTTTAAGTGCCAAAATGCAATCAACAACCTTAGTCGATGATCCCTCCTCAATATTATCCTGAAAATGCATTATATAAATGCATTGCCATTACTACCCTTTCACATAATTTTCCAACCGCACTCAGAAATGTTAACATACGGTTTAAATTTACCCTCTCAAAAACTGATGCCTCAAATGCTGGGAGATGCAATTCTTCCACAGCTACCAAAAAATTCCTTACATTCTCAAAATACTGATAAGCAGGCAATGGCTGAGAATCCCAAAATAGTGAGTGCAAAGATGAATGCTTCTCCACAACCTAAGCATGTGTTCAAAAATCAATAATAAAACAGAGAAAGCTATAGTCTAAAATTCGACAAAACTCTAAATCAAATGATTGTTTAGTCATGTTAATTTTCCAGATAAGGGGTTTCACCTTAGGAACAGAACCTGGTTGTATCTTGTTAATTAAGTTGCAGAGTATCAGACCATTTCTCAGGCATGCAATGAACTCTTTTTCCGAAGGCTGGCTCGATATGCCGAGAGGCCCCATTAAACATTCCAGCCAATGTGTAGCTTGAAATCTCCTCAGGGCTGCAAGTTAAACAACACGATTTTAAATAAATTCACCAATTCTGAATTTTTGCCTTACTTGGTAAAAACAGATAAGAAATTCAGTAAACTGAACCCCGTAAAATAGAATCCCCAGATAACATAAATTCTTAGCTAACACTTGAATTGGGTTCCAAACATAAGAAAGCCCTGATTAAAATTTTAAAAAATTCCCTACATTTTCCAAGATAATTCAAAATTTTGATTATTGGAATTGTTTTTTTTCCCTTATTGCTGAAACCTTCAAAATATAATTGCATTAACCATGATACCCTGGTAGTTCACGAATTGAACTTTTATGTTATTAGACAAAGAGAAACCCAAATACCTCCAAAATTTTCACAAAAAATCTCTGGCTGGAAAAGTGGAATCCAGAAAAGCACCAAGAAGTAATGAACATTAAGAAGAACAATAAATAAAAGAGTCCAAGAACATTAACCTGCTTCTTCAGCTTTCCTTGAGGCCAAATTTAAGTCATGCCTCCCTCCCCCTCCTTTTCTTGGATCCTCCATTTATGCCCTATATCTTCTCCACTACCTAACAATTCAAGAAAACCAGATTTTTAGCACCCAAAATCTTCAAAAATGTTAAAAGGAAAAATTTTTGATGCTGCAATACAAGAATCTTCAAGAACCCACTACTCAGAATCTTTTCAAAAACAATGAGATCTTTAACAGATATAATAAAGATGGAAGAGGGTCAAAAATAAAGATCATACCACGAAAATAGTTAGCAGCGAATTAATTCTAGATTAGGAGTGCATTAATAGTAGACATTCTTCCTTATTTCAAGGTTTGGGAATAAGTGGAAAATTTTAGGTTGTTCGGAACCGAACCCGAGGCTCCGGAATCGTAACGTTACTTCTGCGAAATTTGAATTCAAATATGTGGGGTCTTGAATCTGGGCCGTTGGTTCTGATCCAAGAATTGTTATTGGCCGTAGGATATTTTAACGTTGGAAGACGTGATTGGGCTCGGAGTTTGGGCTGGGCTTTGCTTTTTGCGATCAGCAAAATCTGTAAAAGGCTGCCTAATAGGCTAATAGGCTGGTGTTGAGCGTGCATTACAGTTTCTGCTTACCCTACAGAGGTTTTAAGGTCAGGCAACTTCAGGGCGCGTGAGGGTTCAGATTCGCTCTTATTCATTTTACCATTAATTATTTCCCTAATTGACATGAAAATCTGTTAGAAAATCAGAATTGGGGATGGATATGAAACTTTGCCTTTTAAGGAACAGATTTGACTTGCAAACTTTCAATCTGTGACTATGATGGATTCGAGTTTCTTCCAATGATTTCTGTAGCAATCTTCATCGTGTAATCACAAAAATACTTGCGTAGGTGATCAACTTTAGTGCCTTTTTTTTAGGGAATAATTATTCTTGTGTGACAATGTGCAACTTTTTTCTTTCTTTTTTGTCTGATTAGTTTATGTTATATGTATAACTTGTAAATCTAATCATAAGCAACATGTCTGCATGAAAACTTTATATTTAAGAAAATTTGAATGTCACGAATTTAACTTGTTTTGGTTTAGAATATTTCAAACATCGATAAGAAAAGAAATTCAGAAGAAGTGAAGATTCACCGGTCTCCATAAAATTTCTATAAGCTCTCCATGCTCTTGGACATATGTTCTTAGAGTTAGATATGCTCTTAGAAGAAAACTACCAAAATTTGATTCCACAAAAAGTTTTAAAGATTATTAAATTGATTTCTAGCCTAGGTCATTCAAAATGAACTCAAGTGGTGATGTACATGATATCCTTTATAGCTTATCATGTTTGCTTTAGATTGAGATCCTCTATGATTGTAGAGGAAATCATATAGAGCAATGGATGATTGGAGATCGAGCTCGAGCGACCTGACTCAATTTTAGTCGTCCATTTAAAATTTTCAAATGGACAACTGAGAACGAGTCAGGTCGCTCGAGCTCGATCTCTAATTCAAATCTCACTAAATTACAATTCAGCTATCAAAGATGGAACAATACAAATCAAATAATTTTTTTAAAACCAAATAACTTCATAAAGCCCAATGCAAATAGATATATTTTTCAACTGATAATCTTAATTTACAAGAAATTACTATTATTTATAGGCCACCTTCTTCTTTTTTTCCAAATAGCACAAATCATTAAGAACTTCCTAGCTGGAAAAGTAATTTATTTACAATTATTGGATTCTTCCTCTGATTTTGAATTATCATTAGTTTAGATAATTAAAGCGAATATGCGATTCAATTATCATTCATTTAAATTAAATTGGCTGTTTACTCATTATATTATTTGTTAACAAATGAAAATTACATGTACAATTGAGCTGACAAAATCGCCATGTAATTTTACATAAATATAGCAGTTGATTTTCAAAAAATATCAATTTAATTGTCATTCATCTAAATTAAATTGGTCATTACATATGTTGTATAAGGGCAAAATGATTGATTTAAGGATCTACAATTCCATTTATAATCACAACTAGATGTAAAATGAGCCTATAGAACCGCCATCTAGTTTTACTCAAGTATAGCCAGATTAATTTGTTTCCAAAATTTATCTATGTAACCAGCCAATACAGCTTGCATTTGCTCAATGAACAACAGTGGAGAGTGAACAACAGTGGAGACTAATATATTCATAACTTTTTATTTTATTTGAATTTTTCATTGATTGAAAATAAATTAAATTACAAAACTGCACTTGCATTTGGAATTACAAATTAGCAGTTTAATTTTTACTGTAATGGAAAAATAATTTGTTCATTATATTTTTCCTTTTCAAATCAACCTACATTTGCATTCACAATTTCTGAATTCCTCCTCTACTTTTAAATTCTCATAATTTACCTGATCCATTTGCACATACAATTTCTCCACTGTTACAAAATTAACCATTGAATTTTTACAGGGAAAAAGAAACAAGGCTGCGTTGCACCAATGAAGAAAACCGAAGGCTGCAAATAAGAAAGATTACGTATTCCTCCGGTTAGTCCACGTGGCAATCCTACAGTGAAAAGTAGAACTCCAGTTTATCTAGTGAGTAGACTAGGAGGTTTTCCCTATAATCTGTTGTCATATATTTTTGTATAAGATAAGATTAACAGTAATGTTTGTGAAATAGCATTTTTTAAATCATAAATTATCAATCAAACATGTGGCTAACAATATAAGACTAAACAAAATCAGAAAACTATCAACATTGCAAAAGATAAAAGAAGATGACAAAAGATTGGCAAGTAGTTTTACAAATAGCTTGATATTTTCAAGTGTAAGTTAGTCTTACAGAGACGGGAGAAGACATGCTGAATACTTAATATAAAGTGCAATGATAATCTGCAATTACAAAATATCCAATATTGAGATCCATTAAGTTGCACAAAAGAACAATTTCTTAATAGATGTCAATATTGTGTCAAAAGATGCAAGATTAGTAATTCAGCTGTAAAGTGCTTCAAGATTAGCAAGATTAGCAATTCAAAAGGCTTCAAGCAAGTTTAGTGTTCATTATCACGCCGCTTCTTCAAGGGACTTCTTGGTGCAAGATTAGTTGGAGCGAAAGCTGAGAGTGCATTGGTGGGCAGTGAGGCAGGTGTAATAGCTTCAGCAGAATTTGATCCAATTTCAGGAGGTACAGTTCCAAAAACCAAGAATCTCTTTGCCGTGGTCATTGGAGGCTGCACTTTGTTTGCAGTAGCAGAAGTTTCAGCGATGGTATCAAGCAGTTTTTTGGTTAATGGATTGAAAAATTCATTTTTGTTAGCGGACTGCAACATAGTAGCATGAAGGTCTGGAATTTTTTCATTCGTTTCTACAGCCATGATTGCCATTGGAATATGAGCTGATTCCTTAGTAATGTATACCTTGCAATGTTATACTTGCCTTCCTTTTAGCCTTGATAATTTGCCTCATAGTAGCGGATGAAATACAAAATCGAATGTTTTCCGATTGCATATGCTAGTTCAACAGAAAAGTTAAGCTCCTGCAATTTTTTGTTTTAAAGTATAAATAATTATCAAGTGTATCCTGAAATATTAGCTATTTGTTTGGAAGTAGAAGTTCTTATTGTATATTTTGCTCCTATACACTCTGCTGATATATATGAATAGGTCTATACAATATGCCAATATATATATGAGCTCTTTGTCTGTTTTAATAACATTTGACCACTACTAATTTCGTCAAAGAGACCATTTATTGAATTTCAGTGTTGGCTTGTTTTTCTTTTTGGCATTCCATAGCATAGCACAGAGGTCTGACTAATGATTAACTAACACACTAGCAACTAAAAGTGCATACACATAGTCAGTTTTAACCCGAGCCAAACATGTCATGTATAGATACCAAGATAATAACCAAGAACTCAAGCACATACAATAAACAAAACTTACTATCAGATTTTAGGGAGAAGAACATATTTTATGTTTCTTAATGGTTATTAATGTTAATAAAAGCAAAAACTTTCCATCAGAAAATATGCGGCCTCTAATTTAATCAATAACATAACAGTTTCAAAACTCTAAATACATAAAAAAAAGTGCAAATCAAAAGCATAAAGCTTAAATTTGATCTTGAGTTTTTTAGACAAACCTCGTAGCAACGTATGCAGATTTGCAAGAACAAAGCACAAATAGCCTATAACAGAGGCAACTTCAATTTAAATGAAAATTTTGGTTTTGCAATTAAAGCCAAAAAAAAAACATAAAATTCAATGCAGATAAGGGGGAAAATTTCAAAATTTTAAAAAATATTAATAAATCAATATAAATAAGCAAGAGAGAAAAGGTAATTTATTGTTTTTTATCAGGTGAAAGATGGAAAAAAAAAGATAGCAAAAAAATAAATCATACCACGTGGGGAAAGTGAAGCAACAAGAGCAAAACACCAATTGTTTTTTTTTCTTATCCTTCTTAAACCAAATAAGTGATCATGATTACTTGTGAATAAGGCTTAAAGGAAGCATCAAATCTATCAATGATCTCTTGGTTGATCAATGGTTTAAAATTGAGAAGGTACAATAAAGGTTAGAGAAAGATGGTGTTTTCTCTAAAAGGTTTTCATGCCCTAGACAAGTTAGACTAAACAAAACAGCAAACAACGCACACACTAAGTTGCTTAATCAATAGTCACTTAGATGACTAAACAAGTTTTGCAAATAACAGCCTTTCTGCATTGACCTTAAAGATCTCTGAAAAATAGTTAATCACTCCTATTTCTCATTTAGAACAACAACAGGGCACATATCTCATCTGAGATATTATAACTATAATTCATTCTAAGAAAAACTATCTTAGGTTCTGTATAACTTCTTATTTTTATGTGTTACCAAACTGTCCATTGTGATTAAAGATAAAAGCACCAGTCGCAGGAGGTTGAAATTAGTTAAAATGGAACTTGTCATGTAATAATAACTTTAGCATAGCAGCCACAACCCCAAAATCAGCACAAACAAAAGTTTGTCTCACAAAATATATTGTGCTAATGACTTTGGCTTACAAAATTTGTTATTGATGTCCATTACTACAATTTTTTTTCTAGTGTATATGTCAATTTGACTGTTTGATTGTACATTGATTATACACAAACCAGTAGGATAGCTTAATTGGCCAGAATCACATCAGCAAATGGATCTCTCTTTTTTGTAGGTATTCCACTAATAATATATATATATATTCAAGAATTCGCCAAATTTCAAAATAAGGATTATTGAGTTGGGACCTGGATTCGTATCTTCATTTTTGGCTTGTTTTTTCAGGTGAATGGGTTGCAGCA